AACTAAATTAGGAAAAACAACACTAGTACATATAAAACAATTTGGGTATAAATCAAGAAAGGCTTCAAGTTTCACATTTTCCATTAATTTGAGCTGGAATATGTGTTGGAATACATTCCTCCCTAACAAATTTCCTAACATCCTAACATTCCCTTGCACACTTTCTCTGCAATTCTCTGAATTTAATTTATTCACATTCTAATTATCCTTAATCTTTTCTCCCATGTTCCCCTTTTACCCTACTCTTATTGACAAATTTCACTATAATTCTCCTGAGATGATTGCATGACAAGTAAAAAGGCAGAAGGGAAGACATCTGGATTCTTTAAGCTGAAGTTACAGGGCTTCTCACTTAGAAATAGGAAAAGTAGCTATAACATACATCCACAGCCATAAAAGCTTGAATAATTACACATAACTACTACCAACAGCATAAATATCCTACCGTGATGGGGCTTAAGAAAGATACCTTGCTTGCCCTTTTTCTTCTCATCTTTTTGCTTTTTAGCTGTAGCTTGGGGGTGGGGACAGGATTAACTTTCTCTCTCTCTCTCTCTCTCTCTTTCTCTTTTTAAAGAGCCCTCGCTATGTTGCCCAGGGTAGAGTGCGGTGGCTATTCACAGGCGTGATCATATGGTACCATAATCTCAAACTCTTTGGCTCAAGTGATCCTCCTGCCTCAGGCTCCCAAGCAGCTGGGAATTATAGGCATGCCCCAATATGCTTGCCAACTCTCTCTTTAAACATAAAGTTGCTCAAATCCAACATTCTTTGAAGAGAAAGTCTATTTTTTAGTTTTCTAATGTTAGTTAGAAATAATAAGTTTTTAAATCTCCAAAATGACTCTTACTATGAGTGAAGAATATCAGATACAAAGAGAGTCCGTATTACCTTTAAATCCAGCTGCTTCAGCTTGTTTATACATCCCAAGAAAGAAGTAGGTGCAAGCTAGGTTCACCCAGACTTCAGGATTACAATTTTCCTCTTTTGTCGCATTTTCATATTCCTGAAATATATATTAAGCAGAAATCTCACTTTGGCAGTAAAGCAATCCATGGACCATTCTTCTATATTGGAATAGGATTTTTTACTGAGATTGAGCAGCTTCACATTTAAGGAATTCTACACGCTCCTCAACTATTCTATACCTGAAAAGGTTAAATACTGAAGCAAGGCTGTTGTTCATATAATCTTACACTTGTTTTTTTTCCTCCCTACTTATACTGATGTGGGCTAACAAACTGCAGAAATGAAAAATAATTGAAATACTTTATTTTCGCTAACTTAAAAAGACATACAAAACATATCCTTTAAGAAATTCATATGTTCAATTAACTTAAAATTTGATAACTTTAACACACTATAAATTTCATTTCATTCTAATGCCTTCTAGCTATGTTTATTGGTCTTTACATTTTAAAAAAGTATTTTTTTTTCTGCCAAGGACACTTTCTGAGGTTCATATTGTCAACTCCATTTTCCATATACTCTTACTGTTTATCAGTCTTTCCCAGATGCTGTGATGTTTCTTTCTCTTACTATATTTGGGCTACTCTTTCTTTCCTTTTGCACCTTTCACAAGTACAAGCAGCCTCTATTCTGTCCTTTTCACATCTTCCTTTTTCCTTCAGCAACTTTGTTCCTTTGTTCTTCATCTTACCTCCTCATTATCTATCCTTGAATATTTTCATTTTAGTTACGCAGGTTTTCAAATTCCCTTAGATTACATTTTGGGAGTAAGAATATATGGGAAATGTTTAAGCAATTTCATTTATGAATTAGAAGTTGCTTGACATAGGCATCTATAATTTTATTTAGATCCATAATCCTATTCATTACTCATTGTAGATGGGTAGACTTTACAATGACCAAGAAAAACAATTTCCAAAACAATTATACTTGAAAAAAATATAAAGATAATATAATCTTTCATATGTCTAAAAATAACTGAGCAAAATGAAAGTCTTGTCTTTTGAGAAAAGATTCATAGAAGTTTTTATCAAAATGGCTATTTTTCCTATTCTGAAGATTTATTTAAGAAATACTAATGCCAATATGCTGTCGAATTTCATTAGTATATACGTAAAAGTAAAAAGTAAACAAGATACAGGCTGGGTACAGTGGCTCATGCCTGTAATCCCAGCACTTTGGGAGGCCAAGGCAGGAGGATCACTTGAGCCTAGGAGCTTGAGACTAGCCCAGGGAACACAGCGAGACCCCATCACTAAAAAAATTTTAAAAATTAACCAGGAAAGGTGGCATGAGCCTGTAGTTCTACCTACTTGGAAGGCTGGGGTGAGAGTATTGCTTGAGTCTAGGAGTTCGAGGTTACAATGATCTATGATCATGCCACTGCACTCCAGCCTGGGTGACAGAGCAAGACCCTTCCTCCTAAAAAATAAAATAAAATAAAAAGAGGCCAGGTGCAGTAGCTCACACCTGTAATTCCAGCACTTTGGGAGGCCAAAGTGGGAAGATTGCTTGAGGCCAGGAGTTTGAGACCAGCCTGGGCAACATAGTGAGACTCTATCTCCACAAAAAACAAGAAAAATTAGCTGGGTACAGTGGTGAGCACCTGTAGTCCCAGCGACTTGGGAGGCCGAGGCAGGAAGATTGCTTGAGCCCAGGAGTTTGAGGTTGCTGTGAGCTGTGACTGTGCCACTGTACTCTAGCCTGGGACATGGTGTGAGACGCTGTCTCTATTAAAAAATCAAAAGATACATATAGAGTAGTCCCCCCTTATCCATAGTGTATACATTCTCAGAACCCCAGTGGATACCTGAAACTGTGAATAGTACTGAACCCCATATATATTGTTTTTTATTATATGTACATACCTCTGATGAAGTTTAATTTATACATTAAAACAGAACAATTTTAACACTAAGCTGTAATAAAAGTTACACGAATGTGCTCTTGCTTGTGCTCTCCCTCTCTCACTCTCTCTGAAAAAAATCTTATTGCACTGTACTTACCTATTTTCAGACCATGGTTAGAAACCACAGAAAGGTAACTGAAACTGCAGAAAGCAATACCTCGGATAAGGGGGGATGACTGTACTGGAACATACATAGAAGATTTCTGAAGCAATATAACAAAAAAGTGCCAGTGGATGTCTCCATTAACAAAGTAGAATTATTATGGAAGGCAAATAGAGTTACTTTTTTTCTTTTTCGTTTCCTTCTGCATTGTTTGAACTTTACCATCAGCATGCATTATTATAATACAAAGTTTAATAACATTTTAAATATTCCTGTGTTAGAAATTTTTTTACTAACCTCCAGAGCTCTCTTATAGTCACCCAGGTGAAAAGCACAGTACCCAATCCACAAATTAGTATCCTCTTCTTGCTCCCCAACATGACGTTTGAACTTCAGGTTGAAAATTCATGGGGGAAAAAAATGAAGTACTTTAAATAGTAAACTCTCTGTTTTAAAAAAATGCTATGTTAAGGTACTGGTGAATAATAGGCAACATGAGAATATAAACAAGAAAATA